TGAAAAAAAATCACAAATACTCTTAAGTAAATTCTATCCTCTTTTACCCCAGGGATTCAATTTGTTTCCCCACTAGTAAATATAGGTCCTGACACCCAAGTTCCATTCTCACTATACTGTCAGATTCATCCCCACTGTGATGACGTCATCCTGACAAATCTGGAACAAAAGTAAATGCAGAGGTAAAAGGATTCTTTTTTTTTTTTTTTTTTTTAAAGATGACCGGTAAGGGGATCTTAACCCTTGACTTGGTGTTGTCAGCACCATGCTCACCCAGTGAGCTAACCGGCCATCCCTATATGGGATCCGAACCCTTGGCGTTATCAGAACCACACTCACCCGAGTGAGCCACGGGCCGGCCCTAAAAGGATTCTTTTTACTTCTAAATAACCCAAATTAAAATCTACTCTCTACTAAAAAACAATAGTTAATCTGTTCTGTAGTTGTGAGTGTATGACAGAGAAAGAGAAACACACACTCAGTAGCAAGGTATACCATCATTTTTATTTAAAAGCAGCATGGTCACACATCTATTCAATTAAATTAATGTTTCCATCTTCAAAACGGCAGGATAAATAATTAAAAACCATTTTGAAAAAAATGTAGTGAGGAAGCAGAAAGAGATAAGGAGATGGAAACATGGGGGCTGAAAATTCTTTTTCATAAAGTGACATCAACAAACAAAAACCCTGACTCTAGCAAATTCTAATTATTGGTTTTTCTCCAACTTAAATAATTAATTGAAAGGCAAACATTTTCACTGACAGAAACTCATCATTTTAATGAGAAATTAACAAATCAACAATTGCCTTATAAATGAGTGCTCCTAATGATTTAAAAGACAAAACAGCACTTGCTGAAGTCTACAATAACCTTAGGTGCTATAGTAATTGAAACTTTTTATCTCACTAGACTTGGAGCCTCATTTAACTCAACTAACTAAACCCTTCTTCATGAAGCATGATTTTTTTGTGGCTGCCATGACATTATACTTCCCAGTTTTCTTCCTTCTTCTCTGGTTTCTTCTACTTGAGTCTCATACTCTTCCTCTATCAACCTCTCAGTGATTAGTCTCTCAACAACAACATCCTATTTTATATAGGCTCACGATCCTTTACTTAAAACCTTCAGAACCAGATGTGTTTTGGAATTCAAATATTTTGGATTTTTTAAATAAAGATATATGGTATAATAAAAAATATATATTTCATAATATTATCAAAAGGATCTGCAGTAGCATTTGATTATCAAACACTTTAATATTTCTAAAGGAAAATATATGTATATTCAGTCTAAGTAGGATAAAAAATACTATAAATAGCCTCACATCAATTCAGGTCAAGTTTTGCTGCCAAATGATTTATATAAAAAAAAACATTCAGGGTTGGCCGGTTAGCTCAGTTGGTTAGAGAGTAGTATTGTAACACAAAGGTCAAAAAAAACACAAAAAACGCTCAACTCCAGGGCTAGCCAGTTAGCTCAGTTGGTCAGAGTGTGGTGCTGATAACACCAAGGTCCAGGGTTCAATCCCTGTACAGGACAGACAGACACCCCCCACCCCAAAAAAAACAGAAAAAGAAAAAAAACTTTCTGTTTTGCTGTAGACTGGATGTCCCCCAACTTCATTGAAGCTTAAATCCCCACTTGGACAGTGTAAAGAGAGTAAGAAATCCTACCATGGTAATTGAAAGGTGGGGCCTCGAAAAGATGATTAAATTGTACACACTAGGATGAATGGATTAAAAATGGTGATCATGGACGTGGTTCTGAGGGTTTTAAAAAGAGAGTGAATGAGGGGGTTAGTCTCTGCTCTGCCATTTTCTGCAGTGTGAGACCCCTGGGTTACTGTTGTCACCACCAGATATGTTCCTTGGACTTTGGACTTCCCAGCCTCAGAAACTGTAAGCAATAAATTTTGTTTTCTTTATAAATTACCCAGTTCTGTGTATTTTGTTATAAGCAACAGAAATGGACTAATACAGGTTTTCAGAGCTTTTGGGATTCAGAATTACAGTTAAGGGACCGTGGACATTATGTCCAGTCTAGATTACTTGACTCCTCCAAAAGTGCCCACCTGATGTCTCCACTTAGGTATCGCATATCAAAAATGAACATATTAAAAATTGAACATCTGATCCCCTCCCCACTTGTCAAGCTAACAGCTCATCTCTTTCCCATTTGTCTCTGTCCATATAGACTTATAAGCCAAAACCTGGAAGTGATCTTCATCTCCCTCAGAATTCTTCCACTCACCCCACCCTTGCCATCTCAATACATTCACTTTTCTCCTTCTCTAAGACTACTACATTGGCCCTCATCCTTCTCACCTGACTACTATATGGCCTTCCAAACTGGACTAATGATTCTCCTTTGGCTGTACTATAATCCATTCTTCACAAAACTGCCAGAACTATCCTTTAAAATGCAGATCAGATCATGTCACATCCCTGACCAAAACCCTCAGGTAGCTTCCAGCTGCTCTTAGAAGAAAAACTAAATCCTTACTAAAACATGGTCCTTACCTATCTTTTTGACCTCGTTTCTTACCATCATCTCCCATTATTCAGTTTTGGTAAGCATTTTTTACTTTCTAGAATGTTAACAGCTCTTTTACACTTCTAACCTTCATACCACCTATGGTCCCCAAAGCCTGGAACACTCTTGTTCTATTAGTCTCTTACTTCATTCCTCAGTTTTAAATGTCACCTTTCAAAAAAGGTCTTTCTTCACTCTCTATTCAAATTAGATCATTCCTACTATTCTATCTCATGGAAGCCTACTCTTTTTCCTTGTAACACTTATAATAATTTATAACTTTATATATAAGCATGTATTTAATGTCTACCTCTCTCCTGTATACTCTAAACTCCACCTAGAACAGGGGGATATTTGTCTTATGTTACATATATACTGTAAACACCCAGCATCTAACACAGTGCCCACAATATAGGAGATAAAGGTGAATGCACGCATGCGCACATACAAGCATGCAGGCATTTTGGTTTCTGAGATGTGAGTCACCACTTCAAATAAGAAGACAAAAAGAAGATACAGAGTCCACCAAAGAATCAGATTCATAAAGTCCTCCTTTCATAGTTAGTGAGTGCCCATCAAGAGCTGGGAGCTATTTTAAATGGTGAAGATATAGCAATAAAGAAGACAAATCAACCCCTCCTCCCACAGAACTTACATTTTAGTGGGGGAAGACAGACAATAAAAAATAAGGGTAGAAGAGCCAGTGTGCTTTACTATGCTTCTAGACCCAATGACTAAGAACATTCCACCAGCCTCAGTACCAGAGTAAAAATGATGTATAACAGAGCTGTAGCCAACCCATGATGAACACGCAACATGAGAAAGAAATAAACCCTGATATTATAAGCCACCGAGATTTCTGGTTCCTCTGTCACCTCAGCATATCTAATCTGCCCTGATAAAGGAAATAAAATTCATGGTATGTTAGATGATAATACTCATAGGTGCTAAGGAGGAAAATAAAACAAGAAAGAGGACAAGAAGGAAGGGGGTGGAAATGTGAGGTATGACTCATGTAAGGCACCCACCTTAAATTAGGTCTTTAATTAAGGCTGGACAAGAAGGAAGGGGATGGAAATGTGAGGTATGACTCATGTAAGGCACCCACCTTAAATTAGGTCTTTAATTAAGGCTCTAGGAACATCAAATCAGATATAATTTATCCCAAGCTTATGGAAGACAAACATTTTTTGTCTGTCTTCCCCCACTAAAATGTAAGTTCTATGAGAGCAAGGTCTTTTGATGTTTTGTTTACTGCTGTATCCTCAGCAACAAGTCACTTACAGTTTACTTCTAAAGCAGAAGTAAATTTTAACATCCACACACAAGGCCAAATCAGCACTGTCTTCATCATCTACCAATGCTCCCATTTTCCCCAATTATTTTAAAATAATTTCTTATAATCTATCTGAATAATTCCTTATGATATTATAACTATTTCATCTTCATCTGCAATCTCCAAAACAAGATTTGTATTTCTTAAATAGCATTATTAAAGCACTGAGATTGTGCATTTTAAAATTTCTAACACTAACAAATTACATGATAAAAAAAAAACCTATTAATCAGTATACACAAATATAAATATTCTGTTTTCAATTTAAAGCCTTAAAAATACCAACCTGAGCTGTTTCTGTCATTTTCTGTTCAAAATCAGCTTTTGCTAATGCATATTTTTCCACGTAGAGTTTATAGGTATCTGTGGCTTTCTTAGATTTAACAGCTGCCTGTAACAAAACAAAAAAACATTTTTAACTGTGCATTGACCTTTTTTCTTTCCTAATATAAGTTAATATGAATAACAAATTAAAATACATTTTAAGAGTTCAATGGCAGATAACTAACTTTAATACTTGTTGTCCAGCCCTCCTTAGTAATTTTTTTTTGTTATTGTCAGGCAATAATTCGGGAATTAAACATTGATTCTCCTTTCTGTCTGATGAAATGTGCCTTGAAAAATATAAATACTCTCATTTTATAACCCGGAGTAAGATTGTATAACCACATTATAATGGTATAGTGTTGCTAAGAATATGTTAATACACTGTGGGAAAGAAATTTCCTGACAATGTACAAATTTGTAACAATAACATCAGAAAGTGCTTGACATTCCTTTCTATACCTGTGATTCTTCCTTCCTCCCCCTCCAACATATATATATTCCATGTAATGTCTGACTGAAGGCTATAAACCTAGCTCGAAAGTTAAGATTGGTTGTCCTTGATGTTTCTCGGTTTCTATTACGCTCCAGTAAATCTATATATTGTTTTTAATCTGTGCCTATGTTTTCCAAGATTTCTATCTTTAAAAAAACTGCTATTGTAATAGGACAATTCTAGTTTTATTAAAGTTACTTACTCGATAAAAACTTAAAAATAACTTTAAGTATTAGGCAGTAAAGAACAAGAATAATAAGTTACACAGGGATCTTTTCCTCAAAGTCTTCATTAAAGAAGTAAAACCTAAACAATAACACCTGGAAACTGGTTCAAAGTAACAAAGCCACAGAAGTCTAGATAAATTCTAGGTAAGATAGACAATTGAGGGAAGAAAAAGATTATGTACAGCCATGTGGTTATAAAGAAACCTGACGATTCTCAATCGACTAGTCAATTTGGACACAGGAACATGGGGTGGTGAGGTTGGAGTAAATGAGTTTAAAGATCAAAGGAAGATAAGCCATAAGATTTAAAGAGCTCCATTTTCTTGATGAGGTAAGAGATGGTCTGCTATGAGTTAGGAACAGTAGGGTAGGGTTGGGAGCTTAATGAGAATAAAAAAAAGTTTCAAACCATGGTTGTAGAGGATGCCACAGGTAATTACTAGATGAATGAAAGTATCGCTAAGAGCCACTGAGGGCCAATCAAAGCTGGGAAATAGGGAACTGTACAGACCTGATCAGTACCAACATGTAATTATTTCTAGCAGTGATCAGGAGACTAAGAATAAGAACTGAAAACAGAAAATTGTGTTTACCCAGAGGTTCAGAATCAGAAAGAGCTGCATACAATCCTACTCTCTAAGCAAGCCATTTTGTGCTCTCTCTAGAATATAACTACATGCATTATATTAAGAATATATGCTATATGCTTCCCTGCCTTCTTAAAGAACATAGGTAGCCACTTTACACATAGTGTAAACAAAACCGGTTTTGGATCTAGAAAAAATGTATTCAAATTCTGGCTATACCCATGTTACAGGTAGAGTTCATGAAGGCGGGATAAGCCATGGCGAGAGGAAGAACGGACGGACCTCTAACCATTTTTGGCCCTGGCCCTGCAGCCCAGTCAGGTGGGAAGACACTGTAGCACATGGAACAGGAACCAGCGAAATCCACAGCTGAGCCTTTGTGTGAAGTTGCCTGGAGTCTGCAGGAGAGAAGAGGGCCTTGGAGTGTACAATACCAGCCCCCAGGCCAGTGAGACCACAGACAGGGTTCTTGTGGACACACACAGGAATGAGGGGCCACATCCAACCGAAGAAAGGAGCTACCCAGAGGCCGGTGAATCATCATGAGGGACCCCCACAACGCCTGCCCCAAAGGAAGCATTTGGATTGCAGAGGAACACCCACCAGGGTCCACCAGGGGAAAACTGGGGGGCACTGTGAACAGCTCATCTGCCTTCCAATCCACACAGGCCCACTCAATGGAGACTGATCAGGGCAACAGAACTGCCGGGGTGCAGTTTGTTGAAAAGATTCAGTCTTGGGCCAGAATTTCCACACAGCCTAGGTGTGTCTGACCTCACAAGAACTGGAAATGATTAAAAGGCCAACAATTAAAATCTGATCTGAACAAAAAGCCTTTACCAGAGAATCATCAGCATCCTGGTACAGGAAGCTCAGAGGTCACCAATCAAATTCAATCCAAGGAGGAACAACCCAAGGTACATCATAATCAAATTATCAAAAACAAAAGACAAAGAATACTGAAAGCAGCAAGAGAAAAGAAACATAACATTCAACAGAGTCCCAATACATCTCTTGGTAGATTTCTCAGTAAAAACCCTGTAGCCAGAAGAGAATGGGATGTTATATTCAGAGAACTGAAGGAAAAAGACTGTCAGCCAAGAAACTAACCTTCAAATATAAAGAAGAAATAAAATCTTTCCAGACAAACGAAAGCTCAGGGAATTAATCAACATTAGACCTGCCTTGCAAGAAATGCTAAAAGGAGTTCTTCAATCTGAAAGATGATGATGCTAAGGAGTAGCAAGAAAACATTCAAAGGTATATAACTCATTAGTAAAGTAAGTACATAGACAACCTCAGAATACTCCAGTGTTGTAAGGGTGGTGAATAAACTGCTTACACCCTTAGTATGAAGGCTAAAGGACAAACCCAACAAGATGGTGACATATATACAACAACTTTACAAGAGAGAGGCAATATTAAATTATTGGTACATATACACAATGGAATACTATTCAGCTATTAAAAAAATCTAAATAATTAACTTATATTAAATATTTTTCTGGTTTGTATTAAAGACTCAGAATCATTTAATTATAATCTCTAGTCACCATATAGTTTTCAAGTGGTCACTACATATGAAGTACTATTGTTAAATCCGTTGGGGTTCGGGCCGGCCCGGTGGCGCACTGGAGAGTGCGCCACTTGGGAGCGCGGCAGCACTCCCGCCGAGGGTTCGGATCCCATGTGGAGACCGGTTCCTGCTCACTGGCTGAGCACGGTGTGGGCGCGACACTGAGGGTTGCGATCCTGTTACCGGTCAGTAAAAAAAGACAAAAAGGAAAAAAAAAAAATCCATTGGGGTTCACAAAAAAGAATAGAAGGCATATTTAACCCAGCAGTGCTTTAACCCTGTGGAAAGTTTCAACTAACTTAAACATAAGGCGTGTGCATTAGTGACACAGGAACCATACCAACTTACTGTTTGGCATATCGGTAATAGTATGTACTATAAGTAAATTGCTCCTATGGCTTGCATTTTTTAAATTAATAATTTTATTTTGAAGTATAGTCAGCTTCACACTATATTTGCTCCTATCCTTTTCATTTTTTGGAAAAAATTAAATATCACATAGACAAATGTAGCCTCATGTTCATCTCAATCCCACTCCTTTCACTCCCCTCACTTCATCCTCAAAGGTAATTTCCATCATGTGCTTAGTATTTACTTCCCCCATGTGTGTCCCTAATACATATCTACTTAACAGTATTTTTTTAACAGAGAATTAGAGGTTATATAAAAGGCATCAAATTACACATATTCTTCTGAAACTGATTTTCTTGTTCAACATTATACTTTTTAGATTTACCCATGTTAATACATGACATTCTAGCTCATTCCTTTTTGTACCTGTGTTACAGAAATTTTAGAGCACACAAAAGAAATATAATAGACTCCATGAACCCATCACCTGGCTTCAAGATTCCATCTATTCTTCCCTGTCCAACTTTTGTTTTGCTAGAGTATTTAGAATCTCAGATCTATCATTTTCACCCTATTTAGTTCTTTTACTTGAACTAAATTATGTCCCATTATATGAAACATTCTCATATTGCTGAACAGTCTTAAATAATAAGATTTTTTTTCCAATTTGATAATCTACCTATTATTACAGAAGTCTAATTCATTTACATGTATTATGATTATTGGTATAGTTGGATTTATTTCAACTTATTTTGGGTTTTCTATTTACCATTCTTTCCCTTTATTTCCTCCTTCCTCTCTCCTGATTAATATAAATTTTAAAATCCTCTTCTTTTTGCTGATTTAGAAGACTTTAGATTATACTTCTATACTTTTAGTAGTTATACTCAACATACATACAGGTTGAGCACCCTTAATCTGAAAATATGAGATTTGAAATGCTGCAAAATCCAAAACTTTTTGAGCACTGAGATGACACTCAAAGGAAATGCTCACTGGAACATTTCAGATTTTGGATTTTCAGATTAGGGATGCTCAATCAGTAAGTATAATGCAAACATTCCAAAATCCAAAAAAATCCAAAATCCAAAACACTTCTGATCCCACCGCATTTTGAAAAAGGGATACTCAACCTCTACTTGATGACTAAATCTGATATGCTATTAATTGTAAGGCACACCGTGATCTTGTGAACCACTAAAATGGAAAAATGCTTTCAACTAAGTCATAAAACAATACTTTCTTATCAAGGAATTTTTATTTTACGCTTATTGAAAGAGATATTTTCGACTTACAGGTATATTTATTCTTATCACTCTTGTGCAATGTCACTTTTGTGTGATACAGAATAAAAAGGAAAGCAAAATGAATTTAGATACTTATTCCTAAATCTTATTCATATTCAGATTTGACCCTTCTCAATTACTTTCCCATTTAGAGATCACTGAATTGTTTTTTCCCACATATTATCCTAAATATCACCAAGAGCATTTCTGACACAGCATTTCTTAAAAGTGCTCCACTGTTATCTCCAGATTTTCTTCCAAGCACTTGCTCTTAACAGAAGGTGTCAACAAAAGGTTTCCAGACTACAATCAGAACTATTGCTTCTTCAAATGGTCTGTTATCCGAAACATCAAAGCACTGCAGCTGTCCATTCAGACAATCAAGTTAGCTCAGACAACGAAATTAAATCATAAATGCCACCTTATCAACAATGATTAAATGATACCACCAATTGAAGATGCATTCTGATTTCAGAGATGTGAGGTAAAAGAAATACTTACTAGCTTTTAATATTCTCTTTTTCTCTGGTGCCTAGGTCTGAATTTACCTTTATTTAACCTGCTTAATAACTACAACATACTTTCGATCTGAGGACTCTTGAATTTCTCCAATTTTGAGTTGTTAACTCTTCAAATATTACTTACCCACCATTCCCTCCTTTTTTTTTTTCTTTGTGAAATTCATATTAGATAAATGTTGGCAACCTTTATTTTTCTGTACTATGCTGTGGGTGAGGTCTCTCATTACTATCTTCCAAATTCACTCTTTGACTATATCAAATCTGAGTTTCTTTTCTTTATAAATTTACATTTTATTGAGAGTGAATTCTTACTCCAATTATTACATGTATTGATTGTCTGTCTTAGTATTAGGTTTCTTAGCTGTGTTCTAGAATTTTGGTTGTTTGCTCATTCCAAATGGGAGGTTATTGTTTTTTGTCCCCTATTCTCTTCTATCTCTCCCTCCATCAGTACTGCTGAACAACCCCATAAAATACAATGTAAAAGGTACCTCCTAGAACTGCCTTATATTTTATCCTTTACATTCACCTATCCCCACCTAGCAGTTTTCAGGTTATCTCTTGCCAGCCCTCTAAGGCCCCAATTTAGTATCAGTCTTATAAAGGTTGTTTTTAATGACTTCCCTGCAAGAATACTGGGGATATATTCACCTATCCCCACCTAGCAGTTTTCAGGTTATCTCTTGCCAGCCCTCTAAGGCCCCGATTTAGTATCAGTCTTATAAAGGTTGTTTTTAATGACTTCCCTGCAAGAATACTGGGGATATGGCCACAACAGTCATGAATTGGTTCCTGGGCTTAATCTCTGGTCAGGATTGTGTCTCTGTACACTGTGTCCCTAAACTCCAACTTCCAACAAGGCTTTAGCCCTAGGAAGCAGTCCAAGAGACTTCTTTTTTCTCTACCTATAGTTTCAGGCAGTAAGCCAGGTTCTTTGTGCCTCATCTCAAGAGGAGAACATTTGGTCCCCTTTGCCACAAAAGAGCCAAATTCCACTGACTACCTTAGGATTTGAGTCCAACAAGCCTTCATAATGAATCTCTCCATGCCACGTTGGATTTCTAGTCCACAGAGATAATATTATTCTTTTTGGACCCTGTTATTTTGTTTTATTTTCCCTTTTTATATTTTATTCATAACTGCTATGTCTGAAACAGAGGGTGTTTTCAAACCATGAACTTATTGTGCCTCATCTTTTCCCCAATTTTTATTTATTGTACAAACATTAAAAGAAATACATTGCTCCAAATTCCATTAACCATTTTGATTTTTCCACATTCTCTTTTATTTTTTGCCCATGTATATACATAATCGTACTACAATATAGGGAGAATTTGATTTTCTTTTTTTACTAGATATTTCAAATTTTTTACAAAGTTTTCAAAATTATCACTCCCTATGGCTCATTCCCAAATGACATACACCACATCAAACAAGTGAATGGTCAGTTTAAAGTGTTTTGAAAGGAGGAAAAAAAATCTACTTTTAATTAAAATATAAGTAGGGGAAAGGGTTGTGGTTTACCACAATACTACACAAATGTGCTCAAAGTCAAAAATAAATCAGTCACAACATACACTTAAAACTTATCTTCAAGTATCTCCACCTTTCTAAATATACCAAAATCTTTACCTCTTTGTTAAATCTTATACCAAGCAGTATCTCCTCAATTATCTTACTATAAAAATATCCTGCAGATGTGTCACGAACATAAAAAAAAAAATTTACCCTTTTTTATGTGTCTACTAATCTATTTACCACAGACAACATATATTACAAATCTACTACGTTACTTAGGTAAATCACTGACACCATTAGGAGCTGTGTCCTCATCTTTAAGATGAGATTATTCTCGAGTGTCTGAAGATTAAATGCAGTCTTGTATGTCAAAGTGCTTTGGACCATAGAGGTATTATTTTTACCTTTTCTATTTCTCTTTGTGTTGCTCCTTCTTTTTTCAAACGCTCCTGTTCTACACACTTGGCATTGTAATTTTCCTTGGATTTCTGGAGGGCCTGAGTTATGCTCTGAATGGTTTGAACAGCTTCCAGAGTTCCTGCAACTTCTTCTTTAGTCTGTTTGAGATGAAATGATTCATTAAAATGATTGAACTGTAAAGCACTCAATATCTGATCAATCACTCCTCTAACAGGAAAAAAATTATACCTTTTTATGAGATTTTACTTGTTCTTCTCCATACTTCTGAACTTCCTTTATTAATTCTTGTAATTTTCTAACAAGATCCAAGTGACAATTTGCTAATTTCTCTGTAGATGTCTTGAACACATCCCACACTGGTGCAAATGTTCTAAGAAGGAAAAAAAAAAAATAGGAATAATTTATTAAGAGAAAAAAAACTTTAAGGTTTGAAGATGGAAACAGTAGAAATGATAATTCTGTTTCAGCAATTTTATTTAAGCAAAAGATGAAATTAAAATAAATAATCAATAAAATAATTGACAGACTGATCTTGACTTTTTGGTTACTTAAAATATTTTTGGACCACAGGTACACAAAAATGGGTTAATTATATATTGCTCCAAATTCCATCAACTGTTTTGATTTTTCCACATTCTCTTCCATTTTTTGCCCATGTATATACAAAATCGTACTACAACATAGGTAGAATTTGTTTTTTCTTTTTTCAATAGATATTTCAAATTTTTTATAAAGCTTCCAAAATTATCATTCCCAAATGAGATACACCACATCAAACAAGTGAATGGTCAATTTAAAGTGTTTTGAAAGGGGGAAAAAATCTACTTTCAATTAAAATATGAGTAGGGGAAAGGGTTGTAGTTTACCACAACACTACATAAATGGGCTCAAAGTCAACTACACAAAGTAGGTAAGATGGGAGTGTCCCCTTACTTTACTGAAGGATTTTTTTACACTACAAGGAGTTAAACACAAGATTTCTTTAAATATAGGTTTCTTAAAGGAATTGCAAATATTCAAGTTTTAAAACTTTGATATATATGACTTTTTTCTGGTAAACTACTATATATTACTACATACATTAATAAACACTAAAAAAATAACAGAAAAATCCAAAATATGTTTAAATGCAACTAAATATAGAAAGACAAAATTCAATTTCTTGCTAAAATATGCAACAGTAAACAAAAACATCATTATTTAGGATATGAATGATCTTAAGAGATGACACTCACGCAAAAAGTAATATACCACCTATTATTTATGAAAAACACACCTTCCAAAAACAGGAATGTTTCAGTAACTTTGTTATCAGGAAACACAGTTGAAGTCAATCCATGTTCCTTCTATTTCCCACCTGGAAACTAAGATTAGGGTAGAATTTTCTACAGTACACCAAGGTCAATTGGTAAAAGCTAGCTTTTGTTATTCCAGTTAACTTTCTAGCCCCTCTAGTGTGGTCAATAACGAACAAATTATGTTTAGAAGAAGCTTATAAAAATGGAGCCTCTAGAAATAGAAGGGTGTCAGAAAAGTGAGGAGAGATAAGAAGAAAGACTAAAGTTACAGACCGAACAAATTATGTTTAGAAGAAGCTTATAAAAATGGAGCCCCTAGAAATAGAAGGGTGTCAGAAAAGTGAGGAGAGATAAGAAGAAAGACTAAAGTTACAGACAAGGGAGGAGAGAGAGGAAGAAATTGAAGGGCAAATGGGAATTGAAAAAGGTGGTAGCTCCACAGCCTTCCCAGCCACACTGTACAGGGCTGCAGGCAGTCCTCCTAGCTGTGGACTATCAGAACATACATAATGGATAGTGTCACTACCCTGAGGATGAACTGAGATCCCAACTCCTCTTTGCTGAGGCCACAAAGCAGGAAGATTTTTATTTAAACTCATTCAACCACACTATAGAATACTTATATAAAAGTCATTCTTAACCAGTTTATTAGAAAAATTAATATCTACACAAAAGTTTGCATAAAATTTCAGGCGATTTGGAAATTCATCAGAATCCCAGATACAGAGGAATCTTTTACTAAATACCATGGTAGAAATCTTTTAAAATGTTAGACTAATTATTTCAACATCTTAACTAAAATAAAAACTTTCCCCAATTTTTAGATAATTAAATCAGATTAAGCATTTTTTCCAGAGTTATTATAGTTCAAATTTTACAATTATTCTTTCCACAGTTGTTGTGGCTATAAGCACATCTCATTTTAAATATATTCTTACAATTAATTTTCATTTTTCAAGGAATTTCTTCAATACAAAATTTTAAAAGGAAGATTTAATGGTAGTCTATAAAAATCACAGGAGATATTTTTAATGCATTTTAACCATTTCAATGAAGTTTGTCTTAACTGAGTTTCCAAAAGATCAATGTCAAACTATGACAGAATTTAAATGAACTTACAGACAACTAAAATCAATACTTTGCACATGCATAATATAACATTTATAATCTCAAACAGACATTACCGAATGACTGTAGTTTAATAAAAGGGAAAAATAAGTTTCTTTTACTTTGACTGCATTAACTGATTCAGAAAGTTCAATTATACAAGGGTACTTCAAAAAGTTTGGGGAAAAATAAAATTAAAAGAATACAAATCTTTCCATGAGCTTTTTCAAGTACCCTCACATTTTCTATCAAGTCAAGAATGTATTCACATAAGACAGACACATGTTAAATAAGCACATAATATATTACTATACTTATGAACAACTACATCCTCAGTGAGAACGTAATAATCTCAAGGATTTTGCCTATACAAGCACTGAAAAAGAGGAAATTAACTCACCCAAGTTGTGAATAATTGCTTGCAGATTTCGCTAGTTTTGTCATTGACCTGGAATATGCCTCTTCTATTGTAGCTCTGTTAAATCAAATTTCCATATTATAATATCTCTTGTTCAGTGACCAAAAACATAGCAAAATACAATTAAAAATGCAGAAATAGGAAGAAACTTCAAATTACATGTTAAAAATAAGTAGGTATGGAGTAATAAATTTCTGGCCTATCTTTAAATGCCCTTTGTGCACATCTGCTTTTAAAAACTAGTCTGGTATAAAACTACAGTAATTTATATCACAAAATATTTTAATAAAGTCACTATTCTTTTTGTCTTTAATACCAATGGTTATTTGAATAGGAAGTACAAGAGTGCTGCCTCTTATATTCTCTTTCTTTTTCTATAAACTAATTCACTGTAAGAAGTCATTTGTATTTAATACTTCCTTAGTATATTTAACATAGTTTTTTTTGGGTTTTTTTGAAGGCTGACTGGTATGGGGATCTGAACCCTTGACCTTGGTCTTATAAGGCCATGCCATAGTTTCACTGGTATTCAACACTGCAATGTGTGTTTAACAGAACAAGAGACTGGTAGTTATTTGCACAAAGCTAAATATGAATAATCAGCAAGTCTGAGATCCTGAACTTCAGGGCTTTACTTATTTTGTGACTAGATAGAAAATAACGACAAATAAGTATTCCACAGTAGAATATTGTGTTTTATATAACTACTATTTAGCATATAAAATTTTAGGCTTAAAAAAACCCCAAAACAACCAAAGCCATTAATTATGGAATTAAAAGAACACAAATTATCCTATAGACACATAAACTATAAATACAAAATATGAGGTTGCCTGGGGCTTCTTAATACTACAAAACTGGGCTGTCTAGTTAGATCAGTTGGTTACAGCACCGATTTGCAACACCAAAGTTAAGGGTTCAGTTCCCTGTGCCAGCCAGCTGCCAAAAGAAACCTACAAAATTTCAGTTATAGTTTTATCTTTCCCATAATTACCCTGACACTTCTCAATATGAGTTACCGTATCCTTAACAGTGGAACATTCTACAACCACCACTGTCCTTTCATCTACTTTGACAGGTTCAACTAACTTTCTGCTTGTAATGTCCAAATCCAGATCTCCACACTGCTCTTGCACCAAACCATCTGTTTAGTATCTACCGGCCCCAATTGTAAACATACTTAGATATCTGAATCACCTCAAACTCAGAATATCCAAACTAAGCTCATCTCCAAACTCTTCCCCAACTCCGTCCCCACAAAATTAGCTCTCTAACTAAAAGGAAATATGAACAGTAACTACCTCTTACTGATAGCATTTTGACTTTTTTCTGCTCTTTTAAACTTGTCTGTATTTTAGAAACAGTACTATATCATAAGAGTAATACTTTGATTATCTAAAAAAAAGGCAATAAAGAAATAATATCTCAGCAAATAAATTTAACAGCAAGAAAAAGTAGTTCAATTTTCAGTAATAGTGAATAAGATTATTAATACAAAACCTCCCATTGAGGAAAACTAGAAAAATGTTAAGAGGTGGGGATTGACTAAAAAGCTTCAGAGAACTTAAGACATAGTAAAGAATCAGTATACCAAGATCCAAGAGAAGGATATCCAGAGAAGTAAGAAAGGTATATGTGGCAGCTGTTCCCTTGGGGGCATCTAGAAGAGGCAGCTGAGAAACTGAGAAATGGAACAGAGCTTTTCACAGCCTCACAGGGCAAGAGAAACAGAACTTAAGAGTTCAGGTCTACCAAATGTGGGGAGCATGGGCAATCCTGTTCCCTTTAAGTTGAGACCAAAAGGCAACACTGCACAAACAAGGATGAACCCTATGTAGGCAAGCCCTCATCGGAACTGCAAACCAGATCTTTTCTTTCTTTTTTTTTTTTTTTGGTCTTTTTTCGTGACCGGCAACGGATCGCAACCCTCAGTGTCACGCCCGTACCGGACCGGGACTGGCAGCGGGATCGCAACCCTCGGCTCTGCTCCCGCTCCTCGCTCAGCCAGTGAGCGGCCGGTCTGTATGTGGGATCCGAACCCTCGGCAGGAGCGCCGCCGCACTTCCCAAGCGGCGCACTGTAGCAGTGCGCCACCGGGCCGGCCCTCCTTTTTGTCTTTTTTTACCAACCGGTAACAGGATCGCAACCCGCGGTGTCGCGCCCGCACCGCGCTCAGCCAGTGAGCGGGAACCGGTCTCCACGTGGGATCCAAACCCTCGGCGGGAGCGCCGCCGCACTCCCAAGCGGCGCACTCTCCAGTGCGCCACCGGGCGGGCCCAAACCAGATCTTTTCAGACCCTGACATTGAATATTATATAGACATCTTACATACATTCATAAAACCACCAGGCACATAAGGAAACAAGACAACATGAACAAAATCAGCAGGAACAAATTAGCAGGATTCCAAATATTAAGATAAAGTTTAGACTTTATGAGTTTACATATTATATTCAAGGAGATAATAGATTAGATCAAGAATTCCAGTAGAGAACTGGGTATATACCCAAAGTAAATGAAATCAATATATCAAAAAGACACCCATACTACCATGTTCATTGCAGCACTACTCACAACAGCCAAGAGATGGAATTAACCTAAATGTCCATCAATGGATAAATGGATTAAAAAACTGTGGTGTGTGTGTGTGTGCGTGCGTATATATATATGGACTACTACTCAGCTACTTAAAAAAATGATATCCTATCATTTGCAGCAGCATGGATGGAACCAGACACCATCAAAGTAAAGTAAAGTAAGTCAGGCACAAAGAAACAAATACCCCATGATATTGTTCATATTTGTAATCTAAAAAACAAACAACAAAAAAAGTGGTTCTCATAGAAGTAGAGAGAAGAATAATGGTAACCAGAGGTGGGAGGGAGTGGGAGAAGGAGGAAAAATGATGGACTAATGGGTACAAACCTATGCTATGTACCCCAAGTGAATCATTATGCAGTGTATGCATGTACTGAAACAACACATACTGTACCCCACAAACATGTACAAATAAATGTTAAAATACTCATACAAATAAAAATTTCTTTAAAAAGAAAGATTAAAAAAACCCAAAAACTTCAGTAAAGAATTGGAAATCACTTAAAAGCAGTGGAGGAAAGCACACCAAATTTGAAAACAATGCAAATTACAGATCTGAAAAATACAGAAAAATGGTCAAGAGATATGCAGGCACTTCGTAAAAGAGAAAATGCAAATGGCCAACAAATATATGAAAGGATGTTTATCCTTATTACTTATGAGAGAAATGCAAATTAAAACCAAAATGAGATACTACTACTATGAGAATGGGTAAAATGAAAAAACTGACAATACCAAATGTTGACAGGGACATGGAGCAACTAGAACTCTCAAACAAGAATGGTAGTGGTGCAAAATGGTACAACCTTGAAAAATTATTTGGCGTGATTCACTAGAGTTGAACACACCCTATGATCCTGCAATTCGATTCCAGGGTACGCACCCAATATAAATGTGTATATATATGTACCACAACACATGTGCAAGACTATTCAAGACAGCATTACTTGTAATAGCAAAAAAACAGAAACAGCAAATGATTCACTAGAGTTGAACACACCCTATGATCCTGCAATTCGATTCCAGGGTACGCACCCAATATAAATGTGTATATATATGTACCACGACACATGTGCAAGACTATTCAAGACAGCATTACTTGTAATAGCAAAAAAACAGAAACAGCAAAAAAAACCAGAATAGCCAACATAATATTGAAGGAGAAAAACAAAGTTGAAACACTGACACTACCCAACTTTGACACTTACTATAAAGCTACAGTAAATCAAGACAGTGTGGTATTGGCAAAGGAAAAGACAAATAGATCAATGGAACAGCATTAGAAGCCCTGAAAAAGACACACATAAACACAATAAACTGATTTTGACTAAGCAGCAAATGCAATACAACATAGAGCAAAGATAGCCTTTTCAACAAATGGTGGTGGAACAACTGGACGTCCATATGCAAAAACATGAATCTAGTCACAGACTTTAAACCCTTCACAAAAACTAACTCAAAATGGATCACAGACCTAGATGTAAAACATAAAATTACAAAACTCCTAGAAAATAACACAGGAGAAAAATCTAGATAACCTTCATTATGGTAATGACTCAACACCAAAGTCAAGCTTCATGAAAGAAATAGAGTAAGGTAGACTTCATTAAAATTAAAAAGTCCTGCTCTTCAAAAGACAATGTCAAGAGAATGAGAAGACAAGCCACAGACTGGGAGAAAGTATATGCAAAAGACACATCTGATAAAAGACTGTTACCCAAAATATACAAAAAAATTCTTAAAACCCAACAATAAGATTCTGATCAGACAATGCAGGCCTACCTTAAGAGCAACGGGAAGCCCCTGAGATGGTATAAACAGAAGAAGTAACAAACAGATCTGTGATTCAAAAAAAGCACTCCCACTACAGTGTAGAGAATAACTTACATGAGAACAAGAACGAATGTAGATATATCAGTTAGGAGCTATTGCTGAAGTTCAGGCAAAAGTAATGATATTTTAGGGCTGGCTGGTTAGCACAGTTGGTTAGAATGTGGTGTTGTAACACCAAGGTCAAGGGTTTGGATCCCCTTACTGGTCAGGCACCCCAAAAAAAAAAAACCATAATGATAGTTTGGATCAGCACAGTGAAGTTATAGAAATTCACTCTATCAAAAAATCTTTACTGAGGACCTGCTTGGTGCCAAGCCCTATGCTGAGTGAAGGAGATAGAGCAAAAAAGACAAAATAAGAAAAAATATATATATAAATCCCTGCCACTGTGGGGTTTATATTCTAGTGGGGAGAGACAGACAAATAAATAAGTAAAATATCACTTATATCAGATGGTTATAAGTTCTGTGAAGAAAAATAAAGTAGGGAAGGGGAAGTGGAAGGAGGGACTATCTCACTGCCCACAGAGTCAGAAAGGGTTAAATTCTGGGCAAAGAAAGGATGAGCCAAGGAATCCTGGACTTCTTATGGTGACTGACATAAAGAGTGCTAAAGGATAAAAACAAAGATAATGATATCTGTCCTGATGGTCTCAAAGAAGATAGTGATACTAGTGAGATAAGTGTTGGGGACATGCCAGGAGATACAGCATTCTGGGTCTCTCCATCACTCCTGCCAATGGTGATGGAGAATCCAGGGAAGGGACAGCTTTACTCAGAGCACTCAGAGCTTTTGGATTCCCTCTTGACTCCAGCAGAGAGGTGGAAGCCAGAAAAGGATTGGTTTTATGTGAAATAGTTTATTCCCCAATTCCTACCATCTGTAAGCTCCATAAAGGCAGAATTTGTATCTTTACCGCTACATCCCCAGAATCCACACAACAGACATGGAATATACATTATTGAAAGAACAATGAATGAATGGAGTATTGTATTTAAACATAAAATATCCCTATATTACCAAGGGAAAAAACTTAAACATGTTCATATAAAAAAATTATCAAATGGGACTAATCACAAAATAGGTTTAAGAAGTAGTATAGTAGCTTTGAGTTCTGTATGATTTTGAATCATAATCAAATTATACTGATTTTTAACAGTTTTTGAATTGACTATTATATTCTACAGGTCTTTTTTACCTAGTTGATTACATTTTATAAATTTGCAGGATTTAAAAATATATACTTAGGACTTTTTTTAGATAAAAGTATTATAGTAATAGATAAACTATAAGCTCAGAAAACTAAAACTTTCTCAATTATTTATATTCTAAAATTTAAACTAGTAATAAATTGTTAAACAAATCACTTATAAAACATACATACCTTTCTCTTACAAAATCTGCTAGTTCTTTTGTTGATATTTGTCCATGTTTCATGTTATGGTAGAGGACATCAAAGCCACTATTTTTTTCCCCCTAAATTAAAAAAAAAAAACTTAGTTTAACAAAAAACAGAGATAAAAATGACTTGACAATACAATAACCCTATACTAACTGATAACGTAATTCTTATGCTCAGGTGAGTGGTTTTTCCTTAATTTAACTGTTGTTTTTCATGCATCATTTTAAACAGTATCAAAACAATACTATCTGCTTTGATAAAGTTTACAATTTTCTACAGACACACACACACACACATTCACACACATATGCACACACTCTAAATCACCCATAAGAGTACAATTAATAAAATTAAGTCTGGAATTTCAAAGAATAATATGCAGCACAATTTAGAAGAGATAAACATGGACCTTTTTAAACATATTACCAAATCTCATTTCAATTCCTTTAACACATATTACGGGATTCCTGATTAATTAACTCAGAGTTTGTGCTTTAAAATAACTAAATCTTGGGCTGGCCCAGTGGCGCACTGCTACAGTGCGCCGCTTAGGAAGCGCGGCAGCGCTCCCGCCGAGGGTTCGGATCCCACATACAGACCGGCCGCTCACTGGCTGAGCGAGGTGCGGGAGCAACACCGAGGGTTGCGATCCCATAGCCAGTCCCGGTCCGGTACGGGCGCGACACTGAGGGTTGCGATCCGTTGCCGGTCACGAAAAAAGACAAAAAAAAAGGAAAAAAATAAATAAATAAATAAATAAATA